AGCACCGGTCAGGGCCAAAGGTAAAATGGGTTAGCTACCACCGTCTTTTTTTTTGCAACTCGTCTCGCGCTTGGCTCTCGGTGGTAACAGTCACAGTCATGACAGGGCATGGGATTCTTCATCTGAGTATCCGTACAGTAGCTGCTTGATGGTTGTAGGCACACCCCGGACCATACCAGGAAGACTGGACAGAAACCAGGCCAGATCCATCCATCCACGTCCATCATCCACCCTTGCAGTGACAGTTCAGACCAAAGCCTCCAGAGTTGGTGCTGCAAAGAGGGACACGACAAGAAACCGACCTCTTTGCGGGACATGTGCTGTAACTGACGAGACTGGCGACCCCTCGTCATCCTGAACCTTGTCTCCAGCTTGCTAGCGCTAAAGTAAGGCATGTCGCCAGGGCCTACATGTACCCAGGTACTTGGGCGGCAAGGTGAGAGATGCAGCGAGCTGTGCTCCGCGGGCTGCTGGGACGGTGCAGCTTTGGTAGGTTTGGCAGAGTGAAGCCAGATGAGGGTGGGAGGATGGAGGGGGGAGAGGGGAGGAAGGGGAGGGGTGAATGACAAGGGCGGAACTGATACCGAGGTACAAGGTACATTCATCCTCCTCTGGCTCCTCCCCTGTTTGGGAGCTGTCCTGGGCGGGCTGGGATGGGAGCTTAGGCCACCCTGCGATTGAAGCTGCTGCACCACTCAAACACGCCGCTTTGTCGCGGCAACAGAGGGAAAGTACTGAGAGAGAGGAAGAAAGAAAAAAAAGGGCGTTCCAGTCCCTCTCGTTCTCGTCTTTTGCTCCCCGAGGAGTCAAGATTTGTCGATCCAACATCCATCACCAGCCAATGTGTAACGGAATGTCTCGCCGGCATTCGGCTTTTGATGCTCCCCTCCCATGTCTCCATGTCTCTCAAGTCTCTCAAGTCTCCCACATGACCGACGACAGGAGGCATGGGCACGGCTGATCACACACTTGTCACTGCCAATCTGCCGTTGCTGCAGTCCACCGCCTTATTGCCGGTCTTGGCATCAAGATACTGCACTGCAAACCATACGCACAATACTCTCCGTCGACAGTCATCCCCAAGGGGCCAAAGAACTGCTACCCAACAACAAACACAGTGAGGTAGGTGTATGGATGTTTGAGCATCCATACCCTAGTCAAGGGTCAAGGTACAACAACAAGACTCGAAGCGGTATCCGTCTCCTTAGCCCAAGGTGTTGTAGCGTCCATGTGAATCCATCGACAACAACCCGAGATGCTGATACCTCTTGGCCTTGCAATGCCCCGAGAAAGAAACCAGAGAGAGGCCGAGCCTGGGAGGCTGGCGACGCGAGACTGGGGGCCCCGAGAATAGGAATAGCAGCAGAGCCCCCCCACCGCCCCTCTTTGACCGAGATCTGTTTCCACGCGCCGCCATACATACACATACATACGTACCTCCGTCCCCGTCTTTTGCTGGGTGACGGGATGGGGGTCTTCAGCGCGCCGGGGGCGGCGGAACGCCTTGACCGCGGCCCTCCTGAGACAGATGGTGAGAATGCCCAGAGATCTGCCATCAACAGAAACAAAGCCCTCAAGGTTCCCAAAGAAACACTGTTATCTTTAGACATCATCATCAAACATCAACAACACCGCAATGCCACCAAAAAAGACCCCACGGAGACGGGGGGCAATGAGACATGGCGCTTGTTCATCCCACTCGCCGCCGCTGGGTGCTGCGTCCCCCCTCCAAAACGCTGGACAAAACAAGTGAGGAATAATTCTAAAATAAAAGAAAAAGAAGTTTTGGCGGGGTCGCAAAACGCCGCTAGCCTGCAAGGAATTGACCAACCAGAGCCTGCCGATACACAACAGCTTTCCTCCAGTTGACTAACGGTTTCTCAAACGAACAACTCCAGGATGGGACACCGGGATTGGTGGCATTTGGCGGGATATTATCAGCTGTCAGTGCCAGTCTCTCGGTAGGTAGGCAAGCTGAGCAACAGACAGCATGACGAGTCGGTGGGAACAGTTCAAGGGTCCAGAGAAAGGAAGCCGTTAACCATCTGCAAACCCTCGTTGCGAGGCGAGACGGCGCCGTGCTGATACCCAGTGCCTGACTTGCAAACCCAACTGGCAAGACACGCTGAGCACCTCAGGCCATTGTCTCTTTCGCTTTCCTCTGTCCTTGCAAAATGATGGCGCCTGTCACAAGGCAAGGTTGTACCGGAAGCGCCTAGTGGCAGGCCGGCCGTAATTATTGCACAGTAGCTCATCTGCACTTCTTGGGCCTTGGATGTGTTGCAGAAACTCCCCCAATCCCGATAAAGTTGCCATGCACTCGGCAAACCTCGCGATCCCACGAGCACTTCACGGCTTCAGGTCGTCCCAAAGAAGGCTGTATGGGAGCGTCCCGGGCCACCGCCACTGCCGAAGCCGAGGATAAAGACGGCTTTGCCGTCGCCAGCCCGTGTTGATTCGGACGTCCGCCTCGCCATTTTCCAGCCGGGCCACCTCTGCCTTCGGGACAACTCGACGCGATATCAGCCAGTCTGGACAGTTCCTCACCTGACCCGTCCCTGACCTTTCTCGCCCCGCGGTCCAGTCCATGGCAGAATGCGGGGTGACTTTCACAGGGTTCAACCTATCGTCTTAGTTTCCCCTTTCTGGTGTTTCCAAAGCCTTAACTCACGAGGGTCGAAAGAGGGAGACGGGAAATCCCATCGTGAACCTCGGTCTTCTGCACCGAGGGACATATTGCAGCGGCTTGCCGGCTACCTGCCCAGAGACTACATACAGATAGCACAACGACAGATGGACAGGCCTCCCCAACATTGGCCCGGCCTGGCCTAGCCACTCCAACCACCGAACAACAACCGCCCACACCTGGACCAGGCTGCTCGTGAAGTGGATGGACATCACCACAAGTGTGACAGCCATTAAGCCACATGGTGAAAGCGCACCGGCCCCCAGGCTTTCCAGCTTTCTCCATCATGAACAAAACCACGCATCCCCATATTACTCGAGCGTTATTTCCGGCCCACCGACCGAGGTCCCAGTTCCCAGAGCCAGCCGCGGTGGGTTGTTGGATGAGTGTCTACCTAGCCAGGCCGTGCTGGATCAAACTGGATTGGCATCAAAAAGGTTACGAGATTGGGCAAGCATAGAGAGATGCAACTGAATGCACCAACTTGCTGCAACTCGTTGCATCAGCCATTTGAGTCTTGAGTCGTTACACCGCCAAGGTGCCATTCTGGATCTCACTTGCACTGCGCGTCCACGGGCGACTCGGCCATATTATCCTGCGCAACTTAGCCCGTACCCCTGGGTACAATCCAAGACTCTTGGCCCCCCATCTGGCATCGAAACTATTTCCTTCTCCGTTTCCTCTTTTTTTGCAGGTCACTACCAGATTGCGCCGGCATCCAGCCGCTGCTGGGAGTGGGAAAAAACAGAAAGGGGGAAACCCCCCATTACCATCACAACCAAACCCACCGCGATGATGACTCTCAATCCAGATCTGGATACTCCGATCCCGGCTCTCTCGGCATCTGCCTTCAGGCGCGTCGCAGTAAAGATTCCTGCGCAAAGCTACATGCGGTGTATCTCCAGCCCGCCAACGCAGCCATTCGGCCGGTGGTTGTCGATGATAATAAGAATTAGCGATGGCTTCATGACACAGGCTGACAGTGCGAGATTTATTTCACCAAGGTGCCCCCCTCCCCCCATCCTCGATCCGTGCCCTCTCTGGCAGGAAAGGGGGTCTGCCGCCTTGCGTGATCGGCCTCTGAATTCTGTGTGACTCTTTCTCTGGTCGTCGGGTATCACAGGTTATTAGAGGCATACGCCGCCTGCACCCCACGATTAATAACGCCGGGCTCCAGCACATGCGCGGTCCCAAAGAGCGAAGATGGATCTGCACTCGGCCGGCCGTCCGGCGAGATCTGCCCAAGTGCCAACGACGAGAGAGTGGGGGTCATGTCGGTGCTCTCGCAATCTCGGAGAAGGGCCACCCACACAGCCTTGGACCTCACGGCGGCCCATGACCTCCTCTTCATCGCCGGCTACCTAATGGCCAGACCCATTGCACATCCTTAGATACTGCCCACGGCATGGTCGACATGACATGAGACGACACGCTATCCTTTGACTCATCCAATTTAGCTCAACCTCCTGTCTCCGGCCCCGGCCCTTGAAACAAGGCGCGATTCGCCCGAAATAGGAAGGGCTCCGCTCCGCTCCGTCGGTGGTCGTCTGTCACTGAGAAGGGGGGGGGGGGGGGGCTATCCACTTGACGAACCTAAACACACTCGTGCTGAGATGTCTAGCGTTGCGCACGTAATAAAAAAAACAGAAGACAGGATAAACCTATCCTCAGACTCTCAGAGTTCGGATCAATGCCCCGGTACTGCTTGGCCCACCATGGGAGCACCACAACGACACTTGACGACAAATCCTCCGTGCCACTGCCACTGCTACTGCTACCCACCTTGCCCAATCCAGCCTATCCAGACCGCTTGACCCTCTTCAGGCTCTCACAGCCAAGAACATCACATTGACTTTTCACGATTCAGAGCTGCCACACTTGCCGGGTTCCAGAAACAGTTCGCTGTTCTATTATACGGCTTTGAGGGCCGCAATCAAGAGGCCCCCTCCCCGTCCTTGGAATGTTTCCCCCGGGGAAGCAGGGCCCCCGTTTCCGAAAAGCAACAAAACAACAATGCAAGGTGATGGTACAGAACCCGTCCGGCTACCGTTCCGCCGCGGCTGGGCATTGCCACGGTATGTATGCCATGCTACACCGTGTCGTCGACGGGCACTTCCTCCAGTCACGCCTTCATCACAGCCATGGGACTCGTAACAAGCTCTCGGCATCCTTGGTCACAGCCCACCAGGACCCTTGGAATACGTGCCGGCGGCGAGGGGACCGTCCCATCCCACGCCAGGCCACCACATGTCCGCCTTATATATGTCCCGCAATCACCAAGCTTCTTTCCCCTCCTTGGGTGGAAGAACCACACTTATTTGCCGATAGCCTGCTTGACCTTGGACTCAACCTTGGCCTCGATAGCATCGGCCTTCTTCTGGACGCCCTCAAAGGCCTCCTTGGTGGCGGAAGCCTCCTTGCCTCCCCAGTAGTTGTACTGCATGTAACGGTATCCCTGGGTGAGCTGGGCGCCCTCGTTGATGAAGTGGCAGAGGAAGAGGAGGTAGTTCTTGGGCTGGACGGCGAGGGAGTAGCGCATGAAGGTGGCCGAGTAGATGCAGAGAGCACCCGTCATCTGGCCGGAAATCCTGCAGGAAAAGGTTTGACGCATCAGTCATACTGTTCTTATCTCATTCCAAGCTCCACCACGGAGGACATTGGGGACATGGCGGCGGGAAGAGGGGGGGAGCATCGACGTACAGGTCGGGAGACTTTTGGGTGTCCATGACGGCGGCCAGAGGGATACCGAAGTTGGAGACGGGACCCCAGAAGTCTGCGGTGCGCGACAGAGGTTAGCTTAGCTATCATTTCGAGTCACTGTTGAAGCTATCACGAGAGGCCGGCACCGGAGCACCCCATCCGCAAACGCCGGCGGCACGGGGACGTTGAGCTGCGCTCTAGCTCCCGAACGGCAAACCCATGACGGAAAACTCGAAGCAATGCCCGTCTAGAGCTCTAGGAGACTCCGCGACGTTTGAAGGTAGCTTCATGTGAAAGCTCCCTCTCTCCAACGTATCGGATAATCCCCGCTAACTCCGGAACGCGGAGCGCGAATAGGGAAAAGAGAAAAAAAAACTTGAGAGGTAAGCGGCCGGGTACGTACGGGTAGAGCAGACATAGTCCGCCACAGGGTTGGACCTGATCTTTGCGTTGATTGCCTTGACAAGAGCAGCCATTTTGAATTGCGTTCGGAGGAGGTGGGCGGCGGGATGACGGGGTCAATTGGCAAAAAGGGCGGCGGGTTTGGGGGGGTGGGAGTTTGGTGATTTCGTATTTTGTTGAGAAAGAGCGACGAGAGAGAGGTTCGAAGGGGTGACCAAAGCTTTGCGGCGCGGCGCTCCGAAATTTCGCGGACGGACTCTCGCTGCTGGGCGCTGGGCCTGTGTGGTGCCTGCGGCGGACAGCAGAGGGAACCCGCTGCAGTGGGCGTGCGACGCCCGGGAATAACTGAGCGGGTCGCGGAAATGTGGCCAGGATTTGTGTGAAAAGGGAGGGTCGCGATTGGATGAGCCGCGGGTTGGCCTCGCGGCGCGCCGTTGAATCCATATCACGTGACCATGCTTGCTCGTCCGGCGTGTTCGGGCGACGCTTGGCTTGCAGCGATGAGGTGCTTCGAGAGGAGATAAACTTTGGGCAAGTGGTTGGGTCTCTTGTTTGGGCCTTATAAGCGGTTGTTTTGTTGGAAAAGCGGCATGATGCAGATGAGAGGACACAAGGGTAAGAGTGGCTGAGTTGGTTGAATCGGTTGAAAAAGACGGGCAAAAAAGACGGGCAAAAAAGACGGGCAAAAGAAGCATGTAAATATAGTACAAATTGTCCAACAACCGTGAGGAAGCATTTGCTGAATATTTGGTCTTGTTGTTCAACTCAACGTCTAAGCGAAGCTATTTCAAATTGCTTATGTTAGTGTTGGCACTGTATAAGTTCTATTATGGTCGCTGCTCTACCAAACTGTGCGCTTTCAATATGTCTTGTCGCCTATTCGTAGTCTTTTTGCATTTGGAACATCACATGGCTCTTATCCGTGTTAGCTTGTGGCCGTGGAACTGTAATATGAAAGGGTATCAAGGGCATGAACAAGGAACAAGCCAGCGATCACGAAGGAGAATGAGGCGAGTAACTTATACCGACACCAAGGCAATTCCTGGTGTCAAATGAAAGCTTTTACAGGGGGTTTGGTCAAGTCTAAAGATACATAACAATAGTATTGCAACAGCACCATGGTCTCTAATGCAAGTACTGACTGTCCTTCATTGGCCCTGCTAGCCCGGATGTAAGCCACATTGAGCCTGTCTAGCAATTGACTACCTAGTCTATGTCGTTGTTGCCGTCATCCTGAACCGTCGCCAATGTATTCACACTGATACTCAAGGGAAGCGAAAGATGAAGTTGGGATGAACGTACGAGTGTAAATGAATCTCGAGTAAGCTTAGGGAGGTTCATGAAATTGAGCTTTATGGCTTCTTCCTGGAGCCTCATGCAGAATAGGTGTTTTCTGGATACCGACCGTCAGTCCTACATTTGGCCACACGACAGAAACCATGTAGACTCTTTCCCTCATATCGGCGCCTTCTAGCTTCGATACTCCCTTCGTAGATCAGACAAGATGGCGTACAAGTTACTATCGCTGACTTTGACTGCTATCTACGCTCCCAATGTAATGCTTCACAATTTTCTTTGAGAGCACGTAATGGTCACTCAACTCTACAATCGTGAGTTCCCAGTCAATACCAAAAGCCTGTAGAACTCGTATCTGTGAAAGATCAATTGCCACACGAAGGCTGTCGAGCTGTAGACATTGCCAATTCTGCACGAACAAGTGCTCAGAAGAACTTAAGGATTTGCAAGACACCGTCAGCAACAGTCAGATGGACCTGCTGCAGTCATGCATGTTTTTCACTTAAAAAGGATCTTCTAGTGTGTCGTATTCTATTAGGTTAACGTGTCTGTCTAATCACGCTGATGTCCGCCATTGAAGAATCATTTTAAAGCCTGTCTCATAACACATGCGTTTCTCTTACTGAGCCTGACATTCGCAGTTCACAACTTGGTAGCCCCTGCGTTTCCATCAACCTCTCCAAACAAACTCATAAACGACCCGTGGACCTCATCCGTAAGATCGCTCGCCTGCAAGCTGCGGCCCTTCTTCATGAAGGCCCGTCTGGAGCACTCCTACAACCACAATTAGCACCTAAAAACCAACACCACACACCCGCCAGACTTACCCTCGTGATGGCACTGCCGCCATAAGCAGCAAGTCCAATCAGCTCGTCCTCCGTAAACTTCTCGTCGCCCGTATCCCACAGACCCTCAAGATACGCGTTCCTCCATCCCAAGAACGTAGCAATTGAGCCCGTGAGCGTGTCGCCCTGCCCACCGCTCCTCTTCAGCCCACCCTCCAAGTCAACGATCAACGTCTTCTCCCCGTTCGAGATGAAGTCCTTGCCGCCCTTCTGCACGACCGTCACGCCCTCCAGCGCCTTCGCAAGCGCCTCGACCTTGGCCGTCTCCTTCTCCTCCCCGGACCCTCCAGCCTGGTCCTTTGCCTTTCCCTCGTCGACATTCAGCGCCTTACACAGCCGCGAGAACTCAACCACATTCGGCGTCAGCACCGCCAACTTGTACCCGCGGACCAGTGACGGCTCTTTCTGGATCACCAACAGCGCATCGGCGTCCAGGACTAGCGGCAGCGACTTCTCGCGCGCCGCGCGGATCACCCGCGCCACGGTGTCCTGCATCAGGGGGTCGCGGCCGAGGCCGGGGCCGATGACGAGCACGTGCAAGCGGGAGAGCATCTCAATGATGGGGCCGGCGATCTCTTCGGCGTCTGTGTGCGCGTCCTTGGAGCCGCTGGGAGCCGCGTCGGACGGCGATTGGCGCATGAGGGGGTGCACCATAAGGTTGGGTGAGTAGGTCTTGATCACCGAGGCAGCGCCGGGTGTGCAGATGACGTGGGACTGTCGGTCTCAGCACTCCGTATCCGACAGCATGTCGACGAGAGGGAGGACTGTTCACAACATACCATATCGCAACCGAGTCTGGCACTGGCCATGGCTGAGAAGTACGGCGCTCCGGTGTAGTCGATGCTACCGCCAAGGACGCCGACGCGACCCAATTGCCCTGGGGGATGAGTGTGAGTATGCCCTCTTCGAACGGTCAGATAACGGACTTACCCTTGTGGAACTTCTCCAGCATGGGCGGGACCATCCGCTGCACGCGGCTAAGAATATCCTTGGTTGCTGTAGACATTGCGGGAGGACCGGATTCAGATGGCATCGCAAGGTCGTGTACTAAGAGCAATGGGTGTGTGCGCTAGGCGTCTAGTTAAATAGCGCAACAGAATTCAAGTATTGCGTCAAGAGTTGATCACAGAATAACGTGTAGAATTGCAAAATGTAAGTGGTTCCCGAAAGTTGACGTTTGAAATAGGTGGTGGTGCGAGGGGCAACATTAGGGACAAGGTGAGTTGAGACGAGGAGCTCTGACAGCCAGATGATGTCACCTGTCAACGTCGGAAGTGCAGCAGCGTCTTGTTAGCTAGTCCACATCAACCGATTCGACCCGCCGAGGCGGCTCCCACGTTGGCCAATAATCACATTTCACGGGGTAAATTCGTTTGCAGGAACTAGTCGATGAAAGGACAAAAGGAATCGAGGGCGTTAATTGAGTCTTGAGCTCTATTTTACAAGTGGTTCGACTGGAGATCCTTCCCCAAGATCGCGTCCCCTGGTGCTTCCCTCGGACCGGCGCAAAACCCTCGAGATTTCCTCACGCCTCTAGGAAAACAAAAAACTTCGGTATAGACAGCTACATCAACCCCAGGCACTCCCAGTCGGACCATTTATTATGTCAGGTAAGACTGAAGATTTAGCCCAGGAAGCTCTTGGTGAAGGTGGTGATGACATCCTTGAGGCGGGCCTCGAGGTCCTTGCTGAGGGCACCCTCCTTGTCGATGGTGGCCATCAGGTCGGCCTCGTTGGTGCGGAGGTGGCCGAGGAAGTCAGCCTCCCACTGGAGAATCTTGCCGACGGGGACGCTGTCGAGGTGACCGTTGACACCGGCGTAGATGAGGGGAACCATCTCGTTGACGGCCATGGGGGAGTACTGCTTCTGCTTGAGGAGCTCGGTCAACTGTAGACATTGTTAGCATAAACATCTTTGCATCCCAAGATGCCTTAAACTTACGCGTTCACCTCTGCTGAGGGTCTGCTTGGTGGAGGCGTCCAAGTCGGAACCGAACTGGGCGAAGGCAGCGACCTCACGGTACTGGGCCAAGAAGAGCTTCAGGGAACCAGCGACTTGCTTCATGGCCTTGAGCTGGGCGGCGGAACCGACACGAGAGACGGAAAGACCGACGTTGATGGCGGGGCGGATACCCTTGTAGAACAGCTCGGCCTCCAAGAAGATCTGACCGTCGGTAATGGAAATGACGTTGGTGGGAATGTAGGCAGAAACGTCACCGCCCTGCGTCTCAATGACGGGCAGCGCAGTCATGGAACCACCACCGAGCTTGTCGTTCATCTTGGCCGCACGCTCGAGGAGACGAGAGTGGAGGTAGAAAACGTCACCGGGGTAGGCCTCACGTCCGGGGGACGACGAAGCAGCAGCGACATCTGACGGTAGGCAACGGCCTGCTTGGACAAGTCGTCGAAGACAATCAGGGAGTGCTTTCCATTGTCCCGAAACCATTCAGCTACGCTCGCTGTTTGTAGCAGTTAGCAATAGATCGATGATTGATGGTCGTTGAATAAACGAAGGTGAAAACTCGGTGTAGGGATAAACCGGTTGGGGTATAAACCAGTGGCAGGATAGACCAGTGGTTGGATCAACCAGTAGTGGGATCAACCAGTGGTGGGATAAACCAGTGGTGGGATAAACAGAGGTGAATAAACGCAGTTGATCAACTTACCTCCGGTGAAGGGAGCGATGTACTGGAGGGGAGCGGCCTCGGAGGCGGTGGCAGCAACGACGATGGAGTACTTCATGGCGTCGTTCTCCTCGAGGGTCTTGACGAGCTGGGCGACGGTGGAACGCTTCTGGCCGACGGCGACGTAGACGCAGTAGAGCTTCTTGGTCTCGTCGTTGCCAGAGTTCCAACGCTTCTGGTTGAGGATGGCGTCGAGAGCGACGGCAGTCTTTCCGGTCTGACGGTCACCGATGATCAACTCACGCTGACCACGTCCAATGGGGACCATGGCGTCGATGGACTTGAGACCAGTCTGGACCGGCTGGTTGACGGACTTGCGAGGCAGAATGCCGGGGGCCTTGAGCTGGGCACGGCGCTTCTCCTTGGCGTTGAGGGGGCCCTTGCCGTCAATGGGGTTACCGAGGGCGTCAATGACACGGCCGAGCAGCTCGGGACCGACGGGGACATCGACCTGTTGCGGTTGTCAGCAAATACAGACGTTCACCAAGGCGGTACGTGGAAACCTACAATCTCTCCGGTACGCTTGACGGTCTCGCCCTCCTTGACAAGACGGTCAGAACCGAAAAGCACGACACCGACCTGGCCGGCCTCGAGGTTCATGCACATGCCCTTGACACCAGAGGCGAACCTATAGGTTGGGTGGTTAGACGCGATGCAACGCAAAGGCGGACGGGTAAAGGGCGCGTAACGTACTCGACGAGCTCCTCGGCCTGGACGTTGGCCATACCGTGAACACGGGCGATACCATCACTGTTGTCCAACCGTCGTCAGCAAAACTTTTTTCCATGGTCGAAGAGACGACATGCGAGACCCTCGTGCAAGCTGATGATGCATTGAAGCTTTTCCGATGGGCGCTCGCGATGCCGAGATGTGCCGCCTAAACGTACCCGACGGAAAGGACGCGGCCGGTCTCGGCGAGACCAGCCTCCTCCTGGACACCACGAATTCTCTGCTCGAGGATGGAAGAAACCTCGGTCGGGGATGCCTTGGCGTCGGCGTATGTGCGAGTCTGCATCGACGTGGCGCTGTAGACGGCAGGTGCGGCATTTCGGACCTGAGGGTGAAAAAACAGGTTAGCCGAAGCCCGAAAATGTTATGGGCGCTCCCCCCAAAACAGCAACGCAGGTCCCCCAAGGGAGCTCGATGAAAAGCTCTTCCACAACACCAACACGGCCTCCGCGACGTCAAAAAAGCTCAGAGGGACCTAATTGAGTATCGCGGAACCGAGTGCCGATGTTTTTGGATGGAATTGACGTCGGCTCGGGGATGGGGAGGTTGACGGAAGGTTGAGGTTGACTTACGGCAGCGACTCTGCCGGCAGCAGAGACGGCGCCGACGGCGCGCGTCGACTGTCGGAGGGCGTTGCGGAACATATTAGGAGATCCTGGACACTGTCTAGATCGAAGGAGAATCAATTGCAATAGATGCAATTGAGTGGAGGGGAGATTGGGGTTGATGAAGGTGCCTTTGAAGGAGTGCAAATCGAGTCTTTTTTGGAAGAAGCCCAGTGGAGGGAAAAGAGAGTGAGGAAGCAGTGGACCCGAAGCTGTGCTGAGCGGCCAATCACGGCGGGCCGTCGAGTTTTGCCTCAGTCCAACCCGAGATCTCCCTAACAATTTCCGACCAGCGCAGCGACGGATACGTGCCCCCGTAACCCCGTGAAATGCTGCATTACATAACACAGGGGCGCCTCTGGCACTACTGACAGGTTCTGCTGGATGGATCTAATCTCAACCAGCCGAAGAAAAAAATGTGCCAGTCTGTCTTTCTGCCCGGGGCATTGAGTTTGCGACCGGGCGACACAACGCCCATCGGTGCGGATCGGAACACCTATTCGTCTCTCCATCGCCCCATTGTTTGTCCTCCTCCTCCATGTCATGATGGCTTCAATTCAGCGTGCAGGCATTCATCTTACCAATCTGCATGCATGCGCGTGTTTTTTTGTTAGCCTAGCTTCCCGGCGTCCCGTCGACTCCCCTTTCCCCGGGCTTTTCGGTGCAAAGCTCTCCACTGTGTCATTCCCACCCGCCCAAGGAATGGCACACGTCGACTTTATTATTTTTATTTTTTTGGCACACGTCGAGACTGGGAATCCGAAGGCCACTGCGCATTGATTGACCTGTGGACCTTTGCTGTCTCCGGCCGGCTGGGAACACCGAGCCTGACCGCCTCGGAGGAAGATGAAATCCGAGTTGCCAGTTTTGCTGACATTCCGACAGCCTGCACTGTTGACAGAGTGACAGCCAAGATCAGTAAAGATGCGCATCGCTTCCTGTTGCACGTCACGTGCTACCAATGATACTTTAAATACACACCAACCAGTAGCAGCGTCACCACGAGGTTCAAAAATGCGCTCTTGATTGGCTAAAATAGACTATCTGAACCACCAACGCCATATGATCGCTTCAAAGTAGCGAGCTATCATCACCAGGAAATGAAAATATTGCAGTCACGGCAAATAGTGAATTTTGTGGTAAGCCGGCATGACGCCGGTCGGTCTCTGAGGCCGCGGCTCGACTGAATTTTTGCTCAAGTCAAGCGTGTTGTCTGATGATAACAACTGCTGGAAAAGTACATGCCTTGTAAGCCATTTCCCATTTTTTCGCCAACCGTTAACCCATGCCGTCCCAGTGTCTTTTTTCGTTCGTCGCAAGAGGGTATTGTGCATTTATCGGACAATGCCGTCGAAGCGCTGCTTGAACCACTTAACAGTCTCCTCACGCTTGATGCGGTGGTTGGAGCCGATGCGGCCTCTGGCGCGGTGGCGGGTGCCGACGCGCTCACCCTTGCGGGTCATGCAGACGTAGAAGTCCATGCCGTAGATACCGATGGAGGGGTCGTACTTGATACCGAGATCGATGTGCTCAGAGATACCGAAACCGAAGTTGCCAGTCTCGGAGAAGTTGCGCTTGCGGAGCTCGTACTCCTTGACCTTGAGGCCACGCTCGAGAATCTCCTCAGCCTGTATCGTTAAATTAGCAATCCCGCCTTCGCGCGCACATAATGTGCAATTCTTCATGTCCCAATTCGTCGTACCTTGGGGCCACGGACGGTGACGTGGACGGAGATCTTTTCGTTACGGCGGATACCGAAGGTACGGACGGTGTAGCGGGCCTTGCCTGGGGGTAGGGTCAGTCAATTAATCTTTTCGGAGGGCTGTGTGGTGATGCTGTACTGTAGACGGGGGTTTGACCAGAAAGCTGCTCCAACACCTTGGCGGCACGGGTAAGTCTGTCACCAGACTCTCCGACGGAGATGTTGAGGACGAGCTTCTGGATGTGAAGCTCCCGCATGGGGTTCTGGGCCTTCTCGGACGACATTTTGGCGGTTAGTACTTCGGCGGTACGGCTGGCTAGGCGTTGGGTGTCGATTGTCGCGGATTGTCAAAGTGGAAAATGCGTACCGCTGAATTTCGCGAGCCTTGTATTTTTTGGGAGGGTTTGGCAGCCCTCGTACCGCACGCGGGTGGGGGACGAGATGCACTAGTCCCAGAGAGGCCTAGCGCATTTACGACTCTCCAGCTTAGTCCCGCAGTTTACCCGGCATTGGCCTCAGCCTACCCAAGGCTGCGTTTCCGCCTTCGAAAATTGTCCTTGGAGAGGTATACCCACTCTGACCTTGTCTGAAGCTCTGCCTGCCGCAAAGCATCCAAGGTCGCGCTGAAGTCTCCCAGACTTCGCAATAAACATAGCATCAATTTTTGAAGAGTCAGAGCAGCTACGCACGTAGCTACTCAAAACCACATCAGCCAAGATGTCGAACAAACAGGGCAAGATGGTGAGTAGCTCCCAACCTTCTTCTCAAAGCTTCAAGGTTGACAATATAGGCTGACACGATGTGATTTCTCTCTAGGCCGGTTACGTACGTATTCTTCCTCGATGCGCTCCCAACGACCGCAAACGACAAATACGCAGAGCTTTTGCTAACATAACTTCACAGATCAACTACCGGATGAGAGTTACGTTGAACGACGGTCGCCAGATGACGGGGCAGATGCTTGCTTTTGACAAGGTCAGCAACCCAATTCAGACCCCAATCGCGTGTCAATGGCGATGCTAACCGTCCTTACAGCACATGAACCTTGTACTCGCCGATACCGAAGAGTTCCGACGCGTCAAAATCAGACAGAACAAGCCCGCTGCCCCTGGAGCTAGCTCCGCCTCGGGCCAAACGATCGAGAAGGAGGAGAAGCGAACTCTGGGCTTGACGATCGTTCGTGGCGCGCATATCGTCTCTCTGTCAGTCGAGTCAGAGCCCCCTGCCGACCCAAGCGCGAGACTTGGAAAGAGTGCGCCGGGTGGAATCTCGTCGACTCTCACCGCCGGTCCTGGTGTTGCGCGACCCGCTGGTCGTGGTGCTGCTCCGGCTCCCCCGTCTCTGGCAGTCAGTACCTCCCGTAAAACTCCTAAATACGAGGCAAATGCTGACATCCGATGTAGGGTCCTGCTGCCGGCGTTGGAGGCGGCGCTCCTCCCGGATTCCCTGGCTTCCCTGGTGCTCCGCCTTTCGGCGGACGTGGAGGTATGTTATCACGATCCTTTGACCCCCAAACGCGATTCTCACACCCAGCAGCTCCTCCCCCAGGCTTCCCCGGCGCATTCCCTCCTCCGGGCTTCCCGCAGAACGCCCCTTCCCTCCTCCAGGTTTCAACCCTGGCCCTCCTGGTGGAGCCCCTGGCTTCAACCCTCCTCCCCGCAGATAGGCCACGGACGGAAATATCAATACCTCGCATGCTTTATAGTCGGAGGTTGGTTCACGGATACCATTGGCGTTTGGGGATGAATGTCAAGATTACGAAAATTCGGGCAGAACAGGCGTGTTGTTAGTCGGCCTCTTCTACCCCTGAACAAACCATAGGTCAGCTCGCCAACCTGTATTCGTTGGATTTGCGAAAAGTAATGGCAGCATGAGTTTATTCAACAGTTTGCAACACCATTCCCTGAAGCAGACTTGATTAATGTGACTTGTGTGTAAGGTAGTGCTCGTTTTTGCCGAACGGAACGGAAAAGCGTGGAACGAGGGAGGCCGTGGATTCGCCTGACTACAAACACACCGTCGCAACTTCCGTCTACTTAAGGTCTTGTATTTAGTCAAAACTACTTCAACTCGGCTTAAAGCACGGCCTGCAACGCTGAGCCATTCAACGGACAAATCCCATACTTTTCCATCACTGACACAAGCGCCGTAGTGGCTTATCTTTTAACGGCGGCTCAATATTGACTGTATTTCCCCTAAGGGTATAGTCCGATCGAAAACGACTTCACACAAATCTTTGATTTTGGATTGAGTGATTTTGAGGCAGTGGCACCAGATGAAGGAAAGGTAACGGGCTTTTCCGTCACCATGAGGGGCAAGAGATGGGAGGCAGCATCCTCATCGGCTTCCTGCAGATGAGCCTGCTTGGTAGCATTTACTCTTCAAGCAACAACTTGCAAACATGGGCAAACATGTTTTGCAACAGCGCAATCAGTGATTGTTTCGCCAGGAGACCATCAGAGACAGGCCGCTAATCCTGCTTTTCACTGCCAATCAAGCCCGTAGCTGCCTGTTCAGGCGGTGGTGTGTACCTCAGGTGCAGAACGAAGTGAGGTGGAGGTCGTTACCTTTCTTGTGAAAGTAGGGAAGGAGCTTTCATGAGTCCTGCCCGGGAACTCTTGCCTTCATAAGCAAGCCTGCCTCTTCAGCCTAAAACTTGAACACGAGTTAAGAAAGCTTTTTTCTTCCCGCTTCCACATCCTTCAGATCTGGATTCCTCCTCTCTACACCTAGTTTCCGCTTCGAGCCACGGCACTCTTCAAAGACCGTCCGGATTTCAAGAACTCAGACGAAAGCAGTAGGGTATCTGTATCCCAATTCACCTTTGTGCAGTCACCACCACCTCCTTCCAGAAAGGGCAAGCCGCTCAACAAAATCCGCCATGGGTCGATGGGGTTACCGTATGATGACAACGCGTTTTCCACATCTGAAACTTACTGACTGCTTGAAAGGGCTCTTCGAGGCCGATATCGATATCGACATTGCCTGTGAACTCGATGATGCCTTTGTATCGAGGGAAGGCGCAGGGAGTCTTCGGCTCTCCCGCATGATCAATCAGACCGACATGCTGGCCCCTCCTGGCGCCAGAGCATACCAACAAACCGAAGAGTACCGCCTCGAGCTGGACAATCTCATTGTCAACATTCGAAACCAGCTTGACTCTGGTCTTGGAGACAAGCTTTTCGACAAGTACCGTGCCTTGGAGAACGAGTTTCTAGGCCAGTACCGAATCATTCTGGTCGGCGCCTTGATGATGCGAGCTGGCGCCAAGATCAAGAAGGAGAACTTCCAGCATCTGCGCGACCTTGTCCCCCAAATTGACTGCCAGCATGGCTATACTCTTCCCATCAACGACCTTGGGTTCCGTGGCCCAGGCAAGGCCCAATTCCTTGCTGCTCTCGACAATTATCGGCCGGGAACCCCGCGAAACTACGAGGAGCCAAGGTCTGTTCAGGTAACAGGGTCTTTATGATGTTACTGACAGACTCTGTATAGCTGCTTTCATTGCGGCAAGGTATGTGGGGACCTTGGCAAGACTCCCAAGAAGTGTGGTCGTTGTGAGCGAGCCTGGTACTGTGGGACTGTAAGTCTACACGCCCACCTCTCACTCTACGCTCTAGCTGACGACATCATAGGACTGCCAGAAGGCTCATTGGAAGGTCCATAAGCCGTCCTGCAAGCCCATGTGTGAGGTTACATTTCTGAATGTCTAGAGCGATTTGGGGAGGGAAAGACTGGTTTGCTATGGTATTCTAGTTGCTTCCGATGTTATTGCGACCTCAATACCGTAGGGGAAATGGCCGGGTACAGGAATATGGGAAGCCGGTGACATGTGGTCGAACGCAGCCCAGAACAGACCGTCAAACATAACGATAACCAAGATAACACGACGAAATGAGTTCATCAAAGGGAAGAAATGGAATTCTGCGTATAATCTTCTGACTTTGCTTCCTGATACGGAGACGAAAGGTATTAGCCTGGGATACTATCTTAGCCCAGCTTCAAATTTGATACTGGTGCAGTTTGCGTATTGTTCGAAAACTAATATGGCCGGCTACTTGATGCAGAAAATTGACATTGTTTCCCATTCAAGTAAGCTTTCGAGGGCTCACTCGTCCCCGTATTGAGGCCAACCCCCTTACATGAGCAAACAACAACAAGTGGAAACGAAAGGGCAAGTAAACAAGTAATGGGACAAGGAGGAAAGATATGGTACGTGGTTGCCTGCAAAAAGATAACCCGGGAAGTTGGTTTACAATACGTTGGAACAATAAGACAGGCCTCCTCCTACACGGTCGTCCCCAGCACCATTGCATGAGGTTTCCTATTTTAATTGAGCACACTATGAGATGAATCATGTTACTTATATAAGGTAACAGCTTGCAGTGCTTTTAAAGTACGTAATTACTAGTTGTTTCCATATAAATTGTGGTCAAAGGTCAGAAGGTAGAGCCAAAAGGCGCAATGTGGAACATACATCGATACTTTCACAGTCCACAGGGGTAGTGAAAGGGCTCTATACCAAATACAACCTCCCAAGTTCTCCACGGCAACACTTTGGTTTAAGCCCCTTTATAGAACGTACAAGGGATTTCATGAAGGACATACCCCAGCGGTTCATTCCGAGAGGCTTCGAGTTGACGTTCATCCCTGACCGCATCTCCATCGTCTACTTGTACATCTAACCATACTGCATGAATACGATGCTGACTGATGAGACGAGAGCAAGGCGACTTGCCTGAAGTAGCATAACGTTTGAACCCCTTCGATCATAGATCAAGGCCGTACGAAAGACGCCGTTAGTACAAGTAGCTGCGAACCCGGTTTACGAACCAAACCGCGACAATCCTGCGATATGGGCCTTCAACCATTGCGGCTATTGCACGTGGCGTGTTTTTATATTCGTAAAGGGACAATACATGCTTTGATGCGTCCGAAAGTCTACACCTATTGGGTTCCACACACGCGCGTAAACTTGGCCACGTCAATGGGTGGTTCTAGGAATACTGTTGCTTCCTGAGCCCGGCTGTCATGTCTTCCTGAGGGTGGTACGAGCCTCGCGCTGCTTTTTTACGAGAATATGCGCGAAGATGTCGGATACCGCAGATGATAATAGTTATAGAGCTGCCTACTTAACATCCTCTACTACGTTAGAGCGGTCGGAAACGTATTGGATTTTCGTCCCTGACTTCTTCCTCGTCTGAATTACCAACCCAGTACATGAACAGGTGGTATCATGTACTTTAGACAAACAGGCAGGGCCTGCCATGATCATGAACGCCGTAACACATGATCCCACTAACTTCAGTAAGGCCACGCTAGTATGGTGGTGGTAAGAATAGCTATTGAACGGCATTGATGCCTCTGTGATGGATAATCTGGAGACTTTCTTGTATGGCATGCTGGCTCTTGGCAAACACTTAGCTTGAGACCTAACAATGATCGGCTCTTTGAATCAGAGACTCAATGTAACACAGCACGGCACCCAGCTTAGCTACGTCAAAAGACTCATCGATATCCGACAAGATCCACGATTGAACAACAGCTGACGCGAGCGGAACAGCCGTGTGGCCAGACAGCACTCAGAACGGCCACTTGGGCGATGACGGCAATGACATTTGAGTAATTAGCAAACCCAGTGATACAACTAGGCACGTACGGCAGAGGAAGCAGAGGCATACCTATATTGAACCCGACCTCCCCTTGGAGCTGGTTGGTAGGGAGCCCCTCTTACTGTTCCCGAAAGTCTAAGATGGCAGGCCTCAAGCTACGATACCGGCGTCCCATCTTCGTCGGATGTGCAAGTCGTTGCAGACTCGCTGGCTCTGAGCTTCAACAAAGAGTCTACACGATCTCCTAGTCCAGTTCGAGAGCCTCGGAGCTTCCCCTTCTATCCTCTCCAATCTTTAGACTCAGACGACCATCACCAGAGCCTACGTCCTCTATCCTCAACCGTATACAGAAATCAGTTCGTCACCTTCAGCCTCGGTTTCGTAATTGAAACCTGGCATCTCTAGCCGCAACACGGCCGTCTCCGCGCGCGGACGGACGTACAAGCCCCCATGCCTCCCCCACCCTTTCAAAACATCGCCGGCGCCGATGCACGTCTGGTCCGGCCCATGGATGGAGCATCTTGGAAAGGGCACAGACATCCACGGAGCCGGGTGTGGCAGCCAATTGTCCAAATACATCTTGGCAGTGATCTATAAAGACACTAGGTTTCTTCCTGAGGTTGACAATGTCACTTGTCGATCCTAACGCCGTTGTATGCCCTCCCTGTCCAGGGTAGGTAGGGACGATGCACCCCTGGGCCGAGCTTGACAACAGATTGATTGGTTTCAAATCGACGCGAGACTGGGAAGAGGCGTTAGCGGCGAGATGGGAAACAGAAGGGAAACTCTTGGGCGGTGGTGGGTGGCGGCGCTAGCATCCTCGGAATAGCATCCGCGCCCATCAAGCCACGACGCCGTTGCTTAAATGCCTCAGAATGACGACCCTTCCAGTCTACGCGAACGTCCAAGCACTGGCTGTTGCTGCCGCTACCGCTGCCACATCGGCAGTGTCATAACAAGACGAACGCCACCACGCACAACCATCCGACGTCCAAACGCGGAGCAAACACGGAGCAAACACGGAGCAAACGCGGGACTGGGAGGGGAGAGTATCTGAAGTGTTGATGAACGACCGACCAAAACACCGGCACTTGCTTGAGCTTTCCCACCATGCTGGTAGAGCCGGTTTGATCTCACAAATGACGGGGGAAATTTAAATTAAATTAAAAAAATGACCAACGTCTAACGGTAACATCCTCGTCATTGAAGTAGCGAACCTGCATTAGCCTCCAAAACCTCCGGACCATTCCCCCTCTAACTTGGAAACCCCCCCAAACCTTACGCACTTAATGCAAGGCACGCCGCGAGAAAGTCTGGAAGCGATGTAAATAAGAAATACCGCGACCCTCCTGCATGCCGCGCCGCGCCGCGCCGCGCCGGCCAAGGTATGATGTAGTGTAGGTAATCTACTCTCTTAGTCCCACGCATGCCGCGACTTCGCAGCCTCCGATTAAGACAGGAACGCAAGCCCAATCGAACCCGGCTGCCTTGGACAGCTCTTAGTTTAGTCACCCGAGACCAAAAAGACCGCAAGCAGCCACCATCGGACGCCGAATATGCACCGGCAGCGTTCCCGCCACCGTGCCGTCCTGCCGCCGCTGCATCCACCCTGCGGGAAAAAAAAAGGGAAAAAAAAGAAATGGACATGAAGGAGTGAGCTTCACAGCCCGCTGGCCCAATCGCGAGCTGTTGATACCGGGAAAGCCACTCCTCCATCGCCTTCCCCACTCATTCCCTTATACGGTACCGTTGACCCCGAGACCCCCAAGGTCGCACTGGTGAGAGGCAAACGTAACCCTTACCACCACCCGGATACTTCCCTCCCCCCCATTCCGCTGCAACCCTGCGGATACTCGAGGCCTTTGCGCATCGCCGGCCAGGGATGGACCGTGTACGTCCGTAAACCCGTCCGCTGGACGCCGGTAACACTTCCGTGCAGTAGTCCGTCCAGTGGATGCCGTTTTCACGGTCTCGCGCACTCCTCCTCCTCTTCCTCCCACTTTGGAAACTACCCTCATCAGGAGCAAGACATGACTGCAAAGGCAAAGGCAAAGGCAAAGGCAAAGGGAAGCAAACGTGGGCGGACAGCAAGCCATACCAAGGACATTCCCTCCCTGATCGGTAAGAGCCCCCCCACCCCTTCTCTCAACCACATGGCCAACGAACAACGTCCTCCATGCCGGGGCCTTGCCAATTGGCCGGTTCGATAAAAGCGCCACCAGCCGAATCTCTCCACCCCCACCCCAGTCTTCGCTGGGGGGTTTCAACAGGGTTCCCCGGTGTTCGAAATCGTCCGCCCCCCCCGATAGGATCGACTTGCTAAGCTGGACCTCACGAAAGACCTGGGCTAGAGAGGAACGAACCCAATCGTGACCTTCATCAAAACGTTTTGCCCTTGTGGGGGGGGCTCCCACGAATAGCATTGCTATAGACGCCACGCTGACTGGATGTCTGGGTTCACTCAGCCTCTCAGCTTGGCTTAGCCTGCTTGACTCACGGTCATCTTGTCGTTTGCTTGGACGACTGACAAATGGGTGCCCGAAAGTTTGAGGCAATCAAAGCTTCTAGAGAAACATCGGACAAAATATTTGTCGGTTGGCTCGGCAAAGCCGAGGGCTACGCACGCTCGGATTGTGTCATGGCATCATTGTGGCTGTGGCCAGATAGAGCACAGTCCGTCTCTGGCATAATTGGAAAAGGTGGGTTGAGGTATCATGGTTTTTTATTTCGATTATGGACCAAGTCCAATGCTACCATACCTAGGATCCGGCCACGGTCCTGCTCAACATTCCTAATTCCTGTGGTGGAGTCCACTGGATCACAACTCTGTCAAGTCTCCTCTCCCGCTGCGTGAAGTACAGAACCGGTGTTAACGGCAAGCACCTGAGCTGTCTGAACGATAACTTAGTTTGTCCTTTTGAGCTAAATGACGACGCTGTCCATGTGGTATCATATCGAAGAAAAAGGATCACAAAAGTGTGTAAATCCAGCCAAATTAAACAGAAGGAAACAAGTGTGTAAAGGAGTGATGCGTCGTTTATCATTTCTTTTTGTCCGTTTCACTCATCGTGTGTGGCGTAAATCGAAAACGGTCGTTGCTGCGTTTTTGTAGAGCGGCGCGAACCCTATGAGGGTGTGGCATCCTCATCGATGAGCGTGTGTAGTGTCATGGGATCCCGGAGGCGTCGCGCCTTGTGAATGGCGACGAGGTAGTCGACGAGTCCCTCAGCATCCACGCGGAGTGCCTCGAGTTCTTCCTTGGTACAACCAGCGGCGCGAGAATCTTTGCCTGGGCAACGGTAGGCGGCGAAGACGATGCCGTGATCGTTCTGAGACAAATCCCGAGCACTTGGGCTGCGAGGGCTCGAGTTGGCGGAGCTCCTGCGGCCTGTATCAGTGTGAAAAGCGTGTCCGTAACCTCGCGCAAACTCGCCGGCTTGCGCGTCATCGCTGCGGTATTCCATCCACCCTTCTTGCTTCAGAATCTTGGACTGAACAGTCGCCGAGATGCGGAAAGGGCTCATAAGGTTGGTCAGGCCGTAGGCGGCAAGGAGGCGGCCAGTCATGCCCGGGGCGGAGTCCACCATTGGTCCGTCCATGGGCCCAAGCAGAGAGTTCCTCACGCTAGATGGTCTAGAAGATGAAAAGTCCATCGACAAGCGAGATGTGGGCGATGACGATTCCGACAAGCTCTCAGGCCACAAGTTGACAATATAAACAAGGTCAAACTTGTGCTTAGCAGCGATCTGGGCGGCCTGAAGTGCGCCCTCCTTGGCGACGTCGTCAGCGTAAATAGAGGAGGTCCTTCGCTTGGAACGGAAGGAACTGGTAGATGCCGGGTGGGTGGGGAAGGCGGGAATCGCAGGGTGGCCCGTGTTATCGGTGTCTCCACGGCGTCGTCAAACTCGGGTTCTTCCTCCAAAATATCATCATCGGATAGGGTGAAGAAGTCCATGACATCCCCGCCTTTAAGAATCTGGCTCGAAGAGGCGAAGGACCTGTGAGTTCTCGACTGACCCTGAGAACGTCGCAATGCCGTTGCCTTTTCTTCCCTGCGACGTCTGGTTACCGTGGCGGCAGCCTTCCTCTTGGACAGGCCCAGCTCCGCAAAGTCCCTGGGCTGCGCATCGTGTACGGGCTTCATTTCTGGAGATGCTGCGGGCGTCGGCAGGTCTCTGCTGAGAGCAGAGGATGGACGGCTCTGGGAGCTCTTTATGCTCGAGTCGTCCTCGTAATCGGAGGAGGGCGGGGTGTCCGATCTGTGGGTAGGCAGGATGACGGAGCTGTGGCGGTGCTCAAGAGAAAGCTTATGCGATGGGGGCAGAGTTCTGGGCGACAGCGCAGCAGCGTCGAATGACGAGTCCGGGGAAGAGGATGATGTGGGAGGGCAAGGGAAGTCGAATCCGCGCAGACTCGCCACCGGTTGCATTTCTCTTCGGTGGCTGAGCGACATGGAGCGGGTTGGAAGGGTAAGAGCTGTCATGCTGCTGCTGCTCAGGTGGGAGACGTGTATTGACATGCGCTCGGACGGAGCTTCCGGCAGACTCTGAGCACGCTTCTCGTTCTGGGCGGCGATAATGCGCTCCTCTCTGGCCTTCATGCGAGAGACGCGCGGGCGAATGAAAGACGGCTGGGGAAAGCTGTGGTCCAAAGGGGCGGTTCGTGAGCCACCAGTCGAGTCCGAGATTGACTGGTTTATCTCAATGGTAAGGTCCCTTCTGCGGGAGAAGAGCTTCAGCTTCTCCAGACGATCAAGGTTGTTGGGCATGGCGAGTGAGGCCGATGACGGCGACTTGCGTGTTTGTCTGATGTTCAGAGATTTTGGTAAGCTTTGGCTCTCGGATGTAGGTTGGGAGGAGGGAAAAGTAGGTTGTCGTGGGGTGAACTCACAAGTCCGAGTGATTATATGTAAGAACTGAGCCCGTGCGTTGAAGACGGTAGGACGATGGAAGAAGGAAAACAACAAGAGTCAATCTCGTAAGAGAGTAGTTTGTGGACGTCGAGGTCGAGGTGAGGAAAAGTGTAGGTAAGTTAGGAGGGTAAGATGAGACCTTGACCCAAATGCTGATGCACTGGCTGAAAGTGAGGTCACAGTCGGACAGGGACTCGGCGACCACAAAGGAAGGCGGGAGCAACCGACCAAAGGAAATGGAAACAGTTGGGGCGAGTCAAGTCTCAGTAAATCGGCTGAGTGAATCCAGAACACCCAAGTGTGACGTGGAGGCAGCCCGTTAATAAGGCGATGTCAGACACGAAGCAGGTCAGGTCCCTTTTCTGCGCGACGTCGGTTGGGCGAGGTCGGGGGCAGGACGCGAAGGATGGACCACGGAGAGAGAGTCTGGCTGAGGAAGACGTGAAAGGGTTGGCGGGAAATCGTGCTTGTGCGCTCGAGGTTGTATGGCACTTTGGTGAGACAAGCAGCCAGAGTGAGATGGGCCGCCGCAATATATATGGTAAGCACGCTTAGTCCGGATTCGACAGAAGGCTCGTCCTAGGGGACTGGGGGATGGTTTCGTAGAAGAGTGAATCAGCAGAGGAGAGAAGCGAGACACTCGGCGGGAATAAGAAATGAAAAGTGGAAAGCGGTAGGACGGTAGTCGGTATCAGCTGGGTGAAGAGGTTGCTGGCAGCTAAAGTTGAAGGTGAAGCTGGATCTGGAGAGGTAGATGCAAGAACTAAGATAGCTGGGTTTTGAAAAATTAGAGACGAGAACCGGCCGACGATCAGGAGAGGACAGAACCGAGGATAGGACAAGGTTGGGATGGAGGAAAAGAGGATACGGGCTCAAATCTCAAAGGTCTGGAGAAGTGAAGGCTTTAAGATATGGTCGTGGCGTCTCGAAACGCCCCGAAAGAGAGAGGAGAGGGACAAAGGTGAGGAGGGTACCTTTCGACAAGCCCGAGGGCGAGAAATACTTGCGAGAGCGTGTGCGAGGAGTTGAGGGCCTAGTGTGAGGTGCGCTCAGATGCAGATGCAGCGCTGGGTCAGAGATTTGGGTCGAGGGCCAGATCCAGGTCCATGTCCATGTCGAGCTGCAGCAGCACCGGGGAAGCACGATGTGGCTGGCGGGGGCTTTCTTGGGTGGTGTCTCTGACTCTTGTCAAGGTGTGTGTGTCTCTGATGTATGGTACGCTAGATCAGAAGCGAGGAGGTTCAAGCGAGCGTGGGAGTAGGAGTGGAAGCAGTCGGAGCAGGAATGGGAATGGACGAGGGTGAGGAGGGGATGGGGGCGCATCGTGTTAGTGCGAAGAGTGGAAAGAAGAAAAAAAAGCTAGCAAGCTCTCCCCGACAGCCCCTTTACCATACTATGTACGTCGGACGGGAAGGGAAGAGGCTAGACGAAGCCAAACAAAGATACGTACCGGGGAGTTCACCTTAAGCAGGTGCCATATGCGTCTGCATGTCCCATCCCTGGAGTCGGAACGCTGGCGCTGAACGAGTGAAGGCGCAGGCCGGGGGGGGAAGGGGCCTAGTGCAGTCGGCGGACGGGAGAGGCAACTGGAGGTGGGATGGTGGAGTGGGGCCGTCATGAAAATGGGTGACGGAGCTGCTGCCCTGGGACACTGGATACTGGACATTGGACACTGGAGCTGCTCACATTGGCTGGCCCGGCTAACCACTCGAGCAGACTGCTTTCAGTGGATGTGGGTGGGCACGGCGAGGAAGAGACCGGGGGGGTGCTCTCATGGCCGGGCAGGGATTGTGCAGGGCTCTCGGACGTTGCGACTGGGTATGTTTCTCGAGGGGGCATTTGGGCGTGCTAGTACTTACAGTAATGTGTATAATCACTGAGTGGGGAGGAGCGCACCTCGTGCCTGCCTGCCTTCTTCACCTTGCCTGACAGTAGGGATGGCTCTAGTGAGTGAGGCAGGCAAGGCAGGCAAGGCAGGCAAGGCAGGCACGCGGTACGGTGACTTCCTGCCGCACAGATAGCTGATCTCCAAGACAAGTGACAATATCAAAGGCATCAGCAACGGCGCGCGCAAGAGCAAGAGCAAGAGCCACGCAACTGCAAGGGAAGGCGCACCGATAAGCAACCTCTTACTCCCCATCCCCCCCTGCCTTCTTCTTCTTCTTTCCTTCATACCCATGCTTCGCAGCAGCAGCAACAGCAGCAGCAGCAGCAGCAGCCGCCAATTGATGACCCAAGACCGGTGGAACAGGAGAAAAAGGGCACGAGCGGGCTGCAGATGCAAAGGCGAAAAATGACACCAGCTCTGCATGGTCCTCGGGTTGCGGGTGGCCCCTTGCTGGAACCCGCGACTGATGTTACTTTTCTCGCGCAGCGGGATGTAGGAAGACACAGGAATGACCCTCGAGACTCTGATTGGGAAACGCTCGAGAGGAGCAGGAACAGGGGCCAAGAGGAAAAGCAGGAGCAGGGGCAGAAGTAGGAGCAGACAAGCACGAGTAAAGGCAGGTGCATGACCAGATACCTGCAGAGGCAAAAAGAAGCAACTGCAACGGCAAGAGTCTCGCGAGAGCAAGAAGCAGCAACGAACGCTCATGCACAGGGACAAGGGTCGTTTTCTGCCTCGTGCAACAGCAACAACAAGCAAGACCTCCGGTTAACCTCCACCCTCACATCCCCCCCCTACGGATGCTTTTTGGTCGGTCCCTCCCGTCAATTTTTCGACATTTCCTGTCATCTTTTACCCCGACCTGCCGGATCCTTTCCGCAGCGCCTCCCATGCCTGCCTCGCCGCAAGTGGCTGCCACTTTGATCAGGGCTGTTTCGTTTCGTTTCTTCTTCCGCTACGCACTATCTGATATCAGATATCCCGAGATGACCGCTCCTTGCCCTCCCTCAGGTCTCGTCTCCATAGGTACTCGTCACCCCGCCCTGTTTATGTCTGCTTTGACCGGATGGAACCGTACACTAGAAGGGCACCTCGACCGCCGAAAATCCGAATAGTGCTGCGGAACCCCAAATCCTTCCTCGTCCGCTCTCGAGCCCCCCAAATCAGAGCAGCCTGTTGAGTGGTTCTAGCCACGCCAACCAATCAACCCCCACCACCCCCGTCAAGCTTGACAATCGTACGGTTCTCGTCTCTGTGTAACACAGTAGACCCTGCCAACCATGTTTGCCTGTCAATTCTGTCAGTGGGGGCGCCATGGGATGTCATCCACCCGCCGCTCCTGCCCATCTATCAACCCCTCGTCGTCATGTCGTCTTGAACCTTCTCCTCGCAAACAGGCCTGGCGTTATTCTCAAGGAGACGATCACCTCGACACTGCGATATTCCGACAGTCGAAACGCAATATGCACGACAGACCCAAGCAAGAGATAAACGTTCTTTTCCCGCATGATACACCCCTTTTTTTTACCCAAGGAACCAGTCAATAGACGAACCTTTTGGTGCGCAGTCATGGATCCCGCCCATCGTATCGAAATGGGCAACGCCATGCACGACATCTCGGTTGGGTCCCTTGACGACAACATCAGACCTGATCCCTCCCCCCGGGAGTCAGGCACGCTTCGGGCACCTTGAGCCACTCACAGGTTGTGTCAGTGCGCCTATTTCGACGTGACAACTCGATGATCGACCGCTTGACCCCGGTCAACACTACCGCTGGAGCTTTGACTTAACGGCGCTGCGTATTGACAGTACCGCCCTGAACACCTCTCTCGCTTGCATGCACCTGGGCTCGAGCGTCGTTTTCAACGCTCACAGTCTTGTTTGTTGACATTGCGACCGCCACCTACCTACCTACCTATGTACCCGATTCTTCCCACCGACCGCAATGGCACGTACATATACATGACGCTTCCACCGCTTTTGAACGGTACCTCCGGGCAAGTCGTTGAGCATCAGCATCGATGCCTCGATTGCTGGTTGGCAGCGACGTAACGACGCTACCGTTCTTCGTCTCTCTCGCCAAGCAACATCAGTGCGATCGTCGCCGCTAATGCAAATGCACAAAACTCGTCAACATCGGATGAGTTTTCCAGGAGTTCATCGCAAGTTGCTGCACCGTGTCAAAGCGCCCGATCCCACCCTCAGCCGTCAGCCGAACACGTCTCGACACATACACATTCCGTAAACTCCATAGGTAGAGGGCACATCGGCCAGGCCGAATATTCCTCTCCGTTCAATGTGTTTCTTCTCGTTCGACGTTATTTCCGCTGCTTACCAATGGCTGAAATTTTTAATTTTTTTTGCTGTCTCCAGCATTCATCTACCATCTGCCCCAGCAAAAGAATCCACCGATATACCCTGGCCTCGGCATTTTTGCTAACGGTGGTCGAAGACGCAATTTACCTTCCGGTCACCAATTTCTCCGACTGGACTTGAAGAATTGGACCCTTGATCAAATGGTTATTCGAAATGCAATCTGCCCTCGTCCCTGCCTACCTCAGCGGGACACTGCAATAATTCTTTACTGACGAAAACGGGTCCAAAGCTTGCCTTTGGTCGACAGCTTCGTCATCCATGGTTTGAATATGTTGACGAGATGGCAATGTCACTGCGAAACGTCCTGAACGCAGGGTCCAAGGGTTAGTGACTGGTCTCAAGGCACGCGTTTCCTCTAGCTCGCGGTCCTCGCTTCAAAAAATCCCCTAGCTTCCTTGTGTGCGTCGCCGCATCTCGGACGGCATGTTGCTACGGTCTGATCTCGCTTCTCGCCATCTAACGTCTGCCCGACGGAGCTAGGTAGAAGCTACTCCGCTTGCAGGACTACGGGCTGTAAGCCTCACTATGCGACCGACGAGGCCAACCACTTCTCCATAGCGCCACGTCGAGGCAGCATCGCACGCAAGGGACA